TAGATTTTCAGTACAAATCGGCAATTTCATACTTTAACCCCTATTATCATGATAGTAAAATAGCAAATAATATTCATTAAAAACCAATCCTTATTAAATAATTTTGACTGGTACACTAACCAGCATTGTGGTGACCGAGTGCCTGGGTCCAACTCCAGTCAGGGTCTCCGAGCGCGCGCGCAGACACGCAGTCGAGCCGAAGCGTGGCGTCCGGATAGACGAGAAGCTCACCTGACGGCTCCACTACCGCTGACCCACTTACTACCGTGTACTGGATTGTAGGTGGCGCATCCCCTAAAAAAATGTTGTTTATTAGGTATTAGAGTACTTTGCTGCATTACCCCGTGGTGTACTTTCCTATTACCATGCTAATTTATGTCACTGTTTGTTTAGAATATAATACATTTTTATTTTATTTTAATGATACCAAATCGCGCGTCAGGTGTTAAGCGATAAGCCTGTCCATTGCAGTTGCAGCGCTTTAAATCACAAAGATCTGAGGGACACTGCCACTACGCCTGTCCCCCTGAGACATAAGTCATATATGCCTGTAATTTCACCAGCTAAACCCTTCAAAACGGGAACGCAGTAATGCTCACATTACTGCTTGGCGGCACAAATACGTAAGACGGCAGTCCTTCTCTAGACAAACTCACAGTGAGCCCTAAAACTTAAATTTCACATTACACTAACATGTGAATATTACTTCAGATTATTATTAGGTATTTGCACACCTTCCCATTACATTATTTAATCGCTGTTATTACCGTTTTGAAATTTTTTTTAGTATAATGCAACGCGTAAGCTTAAAGTTGTATAATATAGCAAGCTGTTACAGAACGGAAATTGCATAACAAGTGCATCGTCTAGAATTGTAATGGAAAAAAGTGCGCGATCAGAAGTCGTTGGCCGTGTCGAGATCAGGACGTAAAACTTATATCACACCACGGAAGAATATAGCATTTTTGCAAGGCATTCTGGCAAACGGGAGTATGCGTCTCCTAAGTCAGCGCGTGACCACGGTCAGTGCAACCTGGCCAAGATAATAGTTAGGTGTGCAAATACCTTTTCTTGTTTAATCGCTTTTCTTCCCATTTCCATGTGTCAGTTCAAAGGAGGTTCACAACTCTGAAAACTTGTGAAGTCCCCAACCCGTATGGCCTGAGAGAGAGGGAGATGATGGTATGTTAGCATAATGCAATGTGAAAGGTTAAAGGTGTATGTTATGATAAATGCCCGCGGAACGAATTTGAACTACGTACCTATTTTGCATGTAATTTACAAACAATTTTCTTTAACTACATACATCCTGTATCTATCTATTTAGCTAGTACATAGGTTCCCAAACTTTTTGGCTCACTGCCCACTTAGGCAAGATAAAAAAATTTCAACACCACAAACAATAATGGAAATGTACTTCTTATATTAATTTAAAACGAAAATATTATATACATGTATTAGTGTAGTTCATACACATAATTAAGTTTTTTTTTAATATGGTAGCACTTGAGAGCGTCAACAACCTGCAATTGCTTCCGAGGCCCTTACTGCACCATTGGGATTCTTCAGCGCCCAATGGGTAGGGACCAGTTTGAGAAACTATGAGCTAGTGTATTCATAGAGTATTAGTGGTTTGTGAGTCAAATGAACTCAGTAGCAAAAATAACCCAGCAGCATCCATGTAAAAGTATATTACACTAAACAATTCTGCAATAAATCAACAAACCAGTGAAGTTGGTGATGACTGTAGTGGGTACGCATTCTGGAAACTTGGGTGTCCATTCGCCATTCTCACAATGCAGAGTACTGTCACCTTTCATCTTGTACAACCCAAACTGCTTACAGCGCGCTATGATCAATGAACCATGGGGGAAGTGAGTCTCCTTCTGTTAAAAAACATTTAAAAAATTAATATGTCATCTTAGGCTCAACATGTCTGAAAGTTTGTAATTGAAGATTACTAATAAAATTTAAAAGCTATTAAGTGTGCCAATAATTTATTTGTCCTTTTATACTCACATCAATAGAGGAATTTTTAAAAGAAATGGCTAGTAATGAATGATCATTTTTATACAGGCATTCTCTGAGCACAGGTTGGAATCTACCATCTGTAAAAAAGTGTAATTTTAGGTAAGTAGTGAAATAATAAACTTCACCTGCATTTGGAGGACTAGCATTTCTCATATTGATATTGCCTTATAGCCAGGGATCGGAATTGAGGGAGTTAATTTACCTAAATTTTGAGCATTTTCTTAATATGGCCACACTCATTTCATGCTATCACCAAAAAATCTCAGGATTCACATTACGATATCAATGCATATAATAAATTATATAAATTTAAAGAATGAATAAAATTAATATAGGCATATTTAGTTTTATAAGAATGTATGTACTAACTGTAACAGTAACTGTTTTCTCAAAACGAGAAATGTATCTAAGATTGGTGAAATAAATAAGGTGTCAAAGAACAAGGCGTCAAACAACAGAAACCACCAATTTTTGCTAATGGCAATGATTCCTATTGTTTGTCTTATTTTATTTTCAAACTGTGTGAAAGAGATATATTTGACTACTCCCTACGCTGTGTGAGAGACAAAGCAGTTACTTCTTCAGCTAATATACATGCAATCCACTCTTGTAAAACCTTTGTTAAGTGAGTTGCAGCTATAGAAACACAACGATAATATTATTTTTTAAGATAATAATTAAAATAGATTTATTATTTAAGCAAATACTCAATAGAAAATATTAATTTGTGCCCATAGTACCCAAATATATCAATAATACACATATTGAAATACATATAACTAGTTCTGACACATTCCAGGATATGTAGAAGGGAATTTCCACATTATTCTTTATATTACTTAAATTTTACATTATGTAACTCCCTGAATTTCAATCACTGCTTCTAATATTGAAATTTTTTGCAATGCACATTTAGTTGCATTGACTTCGATACGCACATGAAGTAAGGTACGTTCTGAAATGTGAATAAAGGCAGATAGACAAATGGGACAAATTTTAAAATGGCAGTTATGTATCTATAATTGATATAGTTACCTGGTGTTTCTGAGCACAGTGGGCCAACCCAGTTGCCATCTATACATTTTATCTTACAAATCAAACGTTCATTCAGTGGACCTATGACCCCTGGAAACTTGACCTAAAAATAATTATTTTTGCACCAAATAATTACATTTAGCAAATTTTTATTTTTATGTCTACTGCATATGTTATTCATTAAAAATTGATAGCAAGTTTGATATTTTAAAAGTCAACTGATTCAACCATAAGGTTTATTAGTACTGGTATTTTTGGACAATGGTCCATCACTTTTGACACTTAAGGTTTAAATTGAAGTCAATGTGACATATAATCTCCTTTGTGCTTCCTAAATTATCAGTATGTGTTGTCTGTGATCGTTGAAGTGTATCTGTCATACAAATATTTTTAAATCTATCTATTGTACGTGTGCTCGTTTCTAGTTAAATAAAGCCAAGTTTCTATTGGTATTTCGTTTCCATGTATCAATTTAATTAACTAGTGATAATGACGGACTCGAAGAATGACTCTAAAGAATCTTTATCACATTCTCTAGCAAGATATTTACGCCCTGAAAGGTTTGATGTTGAACCCACGGATCCCGCTGCTGGAGATAAGTGGGTGCATTGGCTGCGTACATTTACAAACTTCCTAACTGAACATGCCCCTGATTTTGGTGACGTAACGGATTCCATAAAATTAAAATTATTATCGAACTACTTGACAACCAGTATATTCATTCAAATCAAAGACTGTCAAAGCTACAGGGACGCCATTAATATTTTGAATAAAACGTACGTTAAACCTCAACATGAAATCTTATCCCGTCACGTCCTCGGAACACGGAAACAAAAGCAAAGTGAAAGTATTTCAGATTACAGCCGAGCTTTGCATATCCTTGCACAACAGTGTAACTACTTCCAGGCAGTCTCAATTGAAGAACACAGAGACCAAGCTATACAAACCGCCTTAATAGCTGGTATTCTGTCACCTAAAATTCGGGAACGATTATTAGAAAAACAAATTATGTCTTTGGACGAAGCTTATAATCAGGCTGTCACTCTCGAAACTGCTGAAAAGGACTCTGTAACTATGAGTATGAGTGTCCAAAATACTATGAATGCTTTGCCAGTGCCAATTCCACAAGAATTACCAGCACCCTTCATACCGCTTCAACAAAACGCTGCAGTCCCGCCGCTACAGATATCAATAAAGCGTTGTTTCTTCTGCGGTGGTAAAGTACATCAAAGAATAAAGTGCCCCGCCTTTCACGCCTACTGTCAAATGTGTACTAAGAAGGGTCACTTTGCTTCTGTCTGTCGTTCCCGTGGCAATCCTTCTACAAGTAACGCCATCCCAAGCCCCGTCGCTCCAGTCGAGTTCTCACCGTGTCCATGTTCTCACGAAACAGTCAACACTTTATACTCTGCGGCATCTCCGTCAAGCCTAAAAAAGGCACAATAGCTATTACTATTAATAACACCCGTGTCGACGCGTTAATTGACACAGGAAGTTCAGTGAGCTTTATTGATAGAAGCATAGCTCGGATGATGAAGTTACAGCAACGTCCGTATAAGCATACTATTAATCTGGCGTCTCTAAGCCACACATCAACAGTCAACTGTGTATGTTTCGCTACGCTAGAAATAAACAATCACATTTACAAGCAACGTCCTTTTCTCGTTATTGACAACCTATGCGCGGACGTCATTATTGGTCACGACATACTAAGGAACCATTCAAAGCTCGAATTCCAATTCGGAGGATCTAGACAGCCCTTGCATATTTGCGTGATGGAAGCTTCCGTACCACCAGCTTCTATTTTTACTAACTTGTCTGCAGATATTACTCCTATTGCTATCAAGTCCAGGCGCCATAACAATGACGATGAAGAATTTATTCAAACAGAAATATCGAAGCTTTCAAATGATGGAATTATCGAAAAGAGTGTATCTCCGTGGCGCGCCCAGGTACTTGTTGCTGGTGGAGGAGCCCATCGAAAGAGAATGGTCGACTACTCCAGAACAATCAATAAGTTTACATATCTAGATGCATATCCATTACCTAATATTGAGTCGATAGTCTCGAAAGTGGCTAAATACAATCATTTTAGCCAGATCGATTTAAAGAGCGCTTACCATCAGATCCCTATCCTAGATCGAGAAAAAAAATACACAGCATTTGAAGCCTGTGGTAAGCTGTGGCAATTCAAACGTATTCCCTTTGGTGTCACTAACGGAGTCGCCGCCTTCCAACGTTCTCTTGAACATATTATCGAAAAAGAACAGTTACGTGGGACCTTCTCTTATCTCGATGACGTTACCGTTTGCGGTAAAAATAAGGAAGAACACGACGAGAATTTAAAGAAATTCATGTCTGCTGCAAAAAAGTACAAGCTCACATTAAACGAACAAAAGTGTAATTTCAGCAAAAATTCTATTAGCCTACTAGGATACACGGTCAAGAATGTTATCGAGCCTGATAAGGACCGCCTTGATCCGCTTATAAAACTACCGTTACCGCGTAACACTGCTGAACTCAAGAGAGCCCTTGGGCTATTTGCTCATTACGCCAAATGCCACAATTTTTCTGCGAAAATTCAACCGTTAATCAACAACAGCCAGTTCCCTTTAAACGAAATCGGCCAGCGTAGTTTTAAACTTCTGAAATCAGAAATCGAGAAGGCAGCATTGGTTGCTATTGACGACAAAGAAACCTTGACGGTAGAGACTGACGCTTCTGACTCCGCTGTAGCTGCAACATTATCAACATTATCATCAGTCCATAGCAATGCGCGTTCGGAAACGGACGTGTCACGACGAAGTGAGTTAATTACACCTAACTCGCGTTTCGAGCGGCACAAGCCGCTGCGCGTAATTGACAATGAGTTCCCAGCAACTCATTGCCAATGAGCTCCTGGCGTTCATGCTATCGACACCATGGATGAAGTCAGCATAGTGCAGATATGCAAATCAAATTTCAGTGAAGATGAGATTTGCAGTGGCAAGATGCTGCTTTTCCAGCGTCTCGGTAAAGCCGAAGAGATGCCATCTCGGGCGAGGGATGGAGGCGTGAAGAGTCTCCAAGATATAATCACGCTGCTGAAGGAGACTGACCCGGACGACGTGCCTACATTCGTGGCGAAGGAGCTGCACAAGCTGCCCCCCGTCACGTTCGACCACGTCGATGTTACTAGGCTGCTGAAGGACATTACGTCCCTGAAGTCTAGCCTAGCCGAAGTACAGTGTAAATTAGAGGCTTCGGATAACATCATAAATGAGCTGCGTACCCAAGTTGCGTTATTAAGCAATGCTCTTTCGGTATGTAGGTCACCAGAAGCCTCTAATGTAAACACACGACGCGGAGCAGCGCTGAATGCCTCGGTCAGCAGTTTCGAGTCGGCACACAATGCGTCACCATTCGTTGCTGCCACCGCGCATGATGCGCCGCGCCCCGCTGCCCGCCCCTCTGCCTCGGTGGAAGTGTCACGCGTGTGCACGTCAACCCCGACACGTGCATACGCCGCTGTAGCCGCTTCAACTAGCCGACCCGCCACTTCGAAATTCGAGCGGCGGCAATCGGCTAAGGATAAAACCAATTTCCGTGTGCCTGTCTCTGAAGTTGCAAAACCACAGAGGCAGACGGTCCAGTGCGACGAGAATGGCTTCACAAAGGTGGTGAAGAGGAAGCCCACCAGCCGTAACCAGTGTGGCACAGCTCCGACAGGACCGAACTTCCTGCTGCGTCCGGCCGTACCGACGACGTTGATGTACCTGTCGCGGCTGCATTACTCCACGAAATCTGAGGAGATAGTGGAGTATATCAGGCATAAAACCAAATACACCCTGAGGGTCGAGCGGTTGTAGTCTCGCCGCAACGTGAACTTAAAAAAATAAAAAAATAAAAAACTTTAATTCGTTTCTGGTGAGAATACCGACCGAACATCTTTCGACCTTCATGAAAGAGGAATTTTGGCCGAAGGGTGTCATATATCGGCGATTCCGCGGCCGGTTACCTGACACCAGATTGCGCCACACGTCGCCGATAAGGGAAATCGTGTAGATTAGTTTTTATTATTATATTGTATGTATCTTTGTTTTAAGGTATATATAATATAGGTGTATTTTGTTTTTATATTGTTACGTATGTTAGTCTATAAGGTATGTATACATGGGTCTTTGTTACCTGATATAAATATATAAATAAAAAAAAAAAATTATCTCAAAAGGGTCGCCCAGTTGCATTCTTCTCAAGAACTTAGAAAAAGAAGCATGTGCAATCGTCGAAAGCATTAGAAAATGGCGTCATTACCTCATCCACAGACATTTTCTCCTCATCACTGATCAGAAATCCGTAAGCTTTATTTTTAATCAGAACCATGCGAGCAAAATTAAAAACAATAAAATTGAAAGGTGGAGGCTGGAACTGTCGTGTTACAAGTACGATATTGTTTACAGACCAGGAAATCAGAATACTGCTGCCGACGCTCTGTCTAGAGTTTGTGCGTTTATGAGTAACAGTAAATTGTACGAGCTTCACGACGTTCTTTCTCATCTTGGGATTACTAGAATGTATCATTGGATTAAGTTGAAGAATCTCCCTTACTCTATAAATGATATCAAACAAATTACTGCTTCTTGTCGCGTATGTGCGGAAATCAAACCACGCTTTGCTAAAGCAAAAGGGACTCTAATTAAAGCCTTATCGCCATTCGAGAGGCTAAACATAGATTTTAAAGGGCCCTTGCCATCGAACACCAATAACAAATATATACTTACGATAATCGATGAATACTCGCGATATCCATTCGCGTATGCATGCCCAGACACATCTTCTGCAACCGTAATTAAAAGTCTAAGGGATATTTTTTATGAATATAGTCAGCCTTTATATATACACAGCGACAGAGGATCATCATTTATACAAATACAAAATACAAATACAAATATCTTTATGTCGGAAGAGATTCAAACATTTCTCAAAAATTGCAATATCGCTACGTCTCGTACAACACCTTACAATCCTCAGGGCAACGGGCAAGTAGAAAAACTTAACGGAACTCTCTGGCGGACTATACAACTGTCTCAGATCTAAAAACCTACCCATAGAGAACTGGAAACAAGTCCTGAAACCTTCACTCCACTGCGTGCGGTCACTTCTATGCACTTCGGTAAATGCAACGCCACACGAAAAGCTTTTTAATTTCCCTCGAAGAACACCGGTTGGTGAATCGCTTCCAACCTGGCTTGTTCTGGGACCCATTCTATTGAAGAAATTTGTTCGGTCGAAAAATGACCCTTACGTCGTAGAAGTTGAGCTGCTCCACAGTAATCCAAGCTACTCCTATGTACGTCGACGTAATGGCCAAGAATCTACAGTGTCTAACAGACACTTAGCGCCGCTTCCTATATCTGAAGAAGATTCACTCTCTGATAGTACAGTTGCTGATGAACAGTCAGAAGGTACATTGGTAGACGGAAGTACTTCTAATGAACCTAATAAAGTGTCTAATCACGAAGAAGACGTCTATGGAACTCTCCTGCAAGACGTTCGGCCTCTGGATGCTCTTCGGAGCTCTATGAGGTATAGGAGAATTCCACAACGCCTCAATGACTACATACTCGGCGAAGAAACCATAGAGGGGGAGAATGACATATAATCTCCTTTGTGCTTCCTAAATTATCAGTATGTGTTGTCTGTGATCGTTGAAGTGTATCTGTCATACAAATATTTTTAAATCTATCATTATACGTGTGCTCGTTTCTAGTTAATTAAAGCCAAGTTTCTATTGGTATTTCGTTTCCATGTATCATAATGTCACTTACAATAAGACAATACATAGTCCAAAGCATAGAGTCCAGTGCACTGTTGACAGAATAAATTAAGTGCACACCTGTGTTACATAGGTTAAATGTGTGTAACAAAGTAGATATGTCACAGCTAGAGGCAAATAAAGAAATTTATCCAAAGAAAACTTTTACACAATAAGTCATGTTAATGGACAATGTACAAAGGTTGGTAATAAAACTTTATTTCAGATATTTATTTACCTCAGATATTTTCGAAAAATCGGCCTGAAATCTTAAAACGTCCAAATTGTCGTCAAGGCTTCTAACATCAGGTAGGGAACATTTGAATTCATCTGTAAATAAACAAAAATTATACATACAATTGAATAACAAATCAAGCTGTATACACAGATCTTCGACTCGAAGTTTTACTTTTATGTGCCTAGCGAGAATGTTTTTATAAACAATTACTTGTAAGCAAAATAAATGACAATTCGATACAACGTTGAACTGTAATTGATCAGTGATTGATTGATACGAGACTATCGTATGCGACGTGTTTTGCTTTCGATTTTTACTATCCGAGCGCTGTGTAATGTTAACTTCTAATGATTACAAAATAGAACGTAAAAATGTAGTAGTTATGGTAACGTTTATTAATGGATAATTAAAAAATTCCAAAATTTTAGCTTATTACATCAAGAAAAAAAATTAAAATTTCCAAGTTTTACCTCGCGGTAAAGTTGTACTGCCGTCTTCTTGACAAAATACCACACCTAGACACAAGAACAGCAATACGTCGAATTGCATTTTCGTTTAACACCAATTTTAGCATATAAAAGAACCTAGAAATGGTTACAGACATAAATTAAATTTAGAAATACACAAACTGCTAGACTGTGCAAAAAATATTTTAAACTTTTTAATTGATTCCTTCAGCATTCATCTCCACTCTTTATGAATATAAATAAATACTAGAACTAGAAGTAGTTTAGCTTTATGTTCATAAATAGATATTGTGTTCAATCTTTGTTCAATACACGTCCAATGAGATAATATATTGTTTGTGTCATGAACGACCCATTCACTACCGGAAGGCAGTCCGCCGCGCAGACAGGAGACTGCTCACACACTATCCTGCATAAGGCCCACGTATGGAGTCTCGTTAGGTCGCATTGCAGGATTGCAGGATGGCTTGCACGCTACGACTACATTCATAATCCTGTATTAGGCGGCGGCCTTCGTTGCAGGATAATTAATGCCCCCTTTTAAACTTAATAAATAAATATAATATTAAGTATTCGGTTCCGACCGTACCGCAGTTAAGCGATGCGCGACTTTAAATTTTTAGTAATCACTCGCATGGGCAAATCATTCGCCTAAGTAGAATCTAAGCACAATCATTCGACTTGAGTCGAATGATTGTGCTTCGAATTGAGTCGAATGATTACTATAGTATATTCTGGTGGGTAATTTTCCGAAAAATTTGAAGTAGTGGACAACTTTCCGGAAAAATTCCCGAACAATTGGAATAATATAATTTTGGCGGTTCGTTAAGTTCTACGTTTCGAAATATCTTTTGAACAATTTATTTTATTTAGCGTGAATTAAAAAATAAACTTGCTAAAATCCACCGAGAGAAACGAGATATTTATTGATTTCACAACACCAAAAGCGGCATATTGACTTGAAATTTGACCGTATCGGTCAACTTTCAAATCAATATGCCGCTTCGGACCGATACTTACAAGATTTTCAACAAAACTGATGCTGGGCCATACGTAGGATAGTGTGTGAGCACCTCCTTGCCTGTGCGACCGACTGCTATCCAAGTAGTGAATGGGCCGTTATAAAGACACTAGACTGACTGGAGACCACTGTTGTCTGATTATTAGAGGTGGGCGTTTATAAGAAAAGCACTTTAAAAGTCTGCTTTTAAAAAGAAGCGCATAAGCACGCTTTCATTTTAAGCGTAAGCGTTGGTCACTGGTTACTTCTCTAGGTACTCAACAATTTAATTTTTTACAACGTGCCTAACATAATAGGGGTTAAAGTATGAAATTGTCGATTTGTACTGAAAATCTAAATTGTTCATTTTTTAAATTTTTAACAAATTTATTTAATCAAAATAGTTGCCATT